GAGAGGAAGAGTGTGGTTAGGCAGGGAGGCAAAGCTCTGGCAGAATGCAGCAGCCAAAATGGGACAGCAGGTAACACCTGTGAGCAGGTAAAGGGCTGCTGGAGCAGTGTCCCAGGTCTGTGAGCAGCACTAAAGCTCTGCAGAGGGGGCTGAGAGCTGGGAGTGCTGCTGGAAGGCTCCCAGAACCAGCTGGGAGGTGGGAATTTCACTGCTATGGAGGGAAGAAGCAGCAAATCCCACCTCACTGCTATGGAGCACACCCTGAATTCCCCACCCTGCTCTCCAAGGATGGGGACCCTCACTGGAGAAGGAGAGGAGAGCAGTGCCAGGAGCCGGCAGAGCCTGCAGACAGAGGCAGCTCCATGCTGCTCCCTGTGCAACCTGCCAGACCATTGTGCCCCTCAGGAGCCCAGCCCCAGGCCAGGGCTGCCCTGCCAGGAGGTGTTTCCCGACCTGGTCCCCTGTGCCACGCTCTGGCAGCCGTGGCAAAAATGTCCTTTCCTGACCTATCCACAGAAACCCAAACTTGCCGTAGCCTTTTTCTTTTGGGACGTTACCAACAGAGCTGAGCCCACCTGGATCTCCCATGATGTTTCTACCCCAGGGAACGCCAGGCTCACCTTCATCATAGTGACGCCTGGCCTCCGTGCCCGGCTTGGCCCTGGGCACGCCGTGGTACAGCCCTTCCCCAACAAAATCGGTGTAGAAGAGCATGAAGGTCATGAGAGCCATCCAGCTGCAGAGCTCGGCCACGAAGAGGCGGCGGATGACCCTGGGGATGCGACAGTAGAGCCCGTGCAGGCGTGGCAGCAGCGAGCACACGTTCCTGGCAGCCTGCAGCACCTGCCTGCCCTGCAGCACGCAGGACCCCCGGGCCAGCTGCCAACACGACAGGGATGGCTTTGGCGACGTGTCCTTGAGCGCTGGCCCATCCGGGATATCCCCCCGGGCGGCTTCTTCTGTCACGAACAGCGTGGCCAGCACACAGCCCAGGAAGATGAGGGCCAGCAGGGTGAAGAGGCAGCTCTCCTGCCTGCCCAGGTAAGGTGCCAGGAAGGCCCAGTCGATGGCTGGCAGCAGGTACCCGATGCAGCCCCCCAGGCTGATCATGAAGGCGTACATGGAGAAGGCCTGGCGGCAATTGTCCGGCTCCTGGAAGAGGTCGGAGAGCAGAGCCTCCAGCGGGGTGAAGCACACCTGGCCACAGAAATCCAGCAGCCCGATGCCCAGGATGAGGAAGGCGATCTCCAGAGGCCGGGGGTTGAGGGCACACAGGCTGGCCAGGCTGCTGGCGTGGGGGATGACAAAAAGGCTGAGCAGCACCCCCAGGCACAGCACCCAGATGAAAGGTCTCCTCCGGCCGTAGCTGCTGTGCCAGTGGTCGCTGGCCGAGCCGATGAGTGGCACAAAAACCAGCCCAAGCACGGGGCCTATCCCTGGGGAAGAGACAGGGAGGTGTTACAGGGACACGGCAGCTCTGTGTGCACTCCTACAAGGGATGGTTTGCAAATTTGGGAGGTTTCAGTGGGTCACAACCAAGCCCTGCAGGGATAACTCTCCCTGCTCTTACTCACCCCCCCCCCCCCACCAACCAAACCGCAAGGTTTAAATAAAAAACCACCTCAAAGAAGTGACAAAAGCCGCCTACCCAAAACCATGGTCATGAACTTCTCCTCCACTCCCACCTCCAGCAGCAGTGGTGGCACGTAGGTGATGCCAGCGGCCAGGCACACCTCCAGCCCGAAGGTGAGCGAGTTCACCAGCAGCAGCTGGCTCCGGCGGCTCTGCAGGGACATGCTGTCCCCAGCCCACCCTGCCACGCTGTCCCCAGCCCTCAGTGGCACCGGGCTGTGTCCTGCCAGCTGCAGAGCTGCCAGGGATGCCCCCCAGGCGAGGATTGGAGCTTCCCTTGCCGGGCTGCTGGGGAGATGCTGCTTCCCATTTTATCAACGGTGAAGGAACCGTGGTCTTCTCCTCTTCCTGTTCTTGCAGAGCCCAGGCAGGGATCCCAGCGCAGGCTCCCCCTCCTGCTCACAGGCTGTGGTCTGTGGGGAGAGAGCGTTAAACACGCAGGGAATGAGGTAAAAGCAGGGACCACAGGGATGTGTCACTGCTGCAAGGGACTGTCCCCATCCCAACGGGCTGGGAGAGGGGCAGGTTAAAGGATGGAAGCTCCATCCCTGCCAAGGTTTGTCTCCGAGGGTTTGGGAAAACCCGATGCTGCCCTTGGGGATTGATGACCTCTCCATCCTGTCCAGCCGCCTCTTCCAGATGGCAGAGACAAAGGATTTGGGGTCTCCTCTCAGAGGGAAATCCCTTAAGAGCCCCCTCCCAGGATCAGGGGAGTGCCTGCAGCCACATGGGCTCATCTCCAGAGCCCCCCACGCCCCTGCCTGATGACCAGGACCCTCCCTGTGCTGCTCCTCAGGCTCCTGGGGCAGCAATTCCACCCAAATCCCATCCCCAGCCCCTGGGATGGGGCACAGAGAACAGATGGTGCCTCCGTGGAGTTTCACAAACAAACCTGACCCACTTTAGCCTCATCTAACAGCGAATGGCAATTACCTTACTCATTAGCCTGAGTCATTTATTTGCCCTGTAACTGCTCCCTTGTCTCCAGCTTCTCCGGAGGGAGAGGCCTCGGGATCAGGGGCTGAGCAGCCAGGGCAGGAGGGAGCAGATCCCTCCCAGCTCCAAATGACTCCAAGGTCCCCAGCACCCTCAAAATTTGTTAAAAACACCTCGGGGAGTTGAAATCAGAGCTCCCCGAGGCCTCCATCACTGCCCAGGTGTGGGCAGGCAGGTACAGACGGCAGAGTTTTGTCCCTTTCCTCTCTCTCGCCGTGTCACCCACGAGGGGTGGCTGGGGGAGGCTGGCACGGCGGGGACGAGGCTCAGCCATCACTCCCTGCCTCTCATTGCTGCGGAGAATTGTCACTGCTGAGCTCAGGAGCTGCCAGTGCCACTCCACAAAATCCCATTATTGTCCTTTTGGGACCCGTCACCTCCCCTGAGCTGTCACGGCAGATCCTTCCTTTCAACAACCGCCACCAATTTAAACCAAGGTCAAACAAGCAGCAAACAGAGGGGAGCGGCTTCGCTTTAATCACCAGAGGCGGCTTCAAAGCGGCCCCGGGCGGGCTGAGCATCCCTGAGAGCGGGGACAGCAGCGCCCACCTTGCCCAGGTGGGGCTCAGGCACAGCCTGTGCCAGCCCGGCTCGGTCAGGAGGGATCCCAGCCCCGGGATGAGCAATTCCAGCCCCGGGATGAGCAATTCCAGCCCCGGCCCCGGCAGCACAAACTCTGCCATTCCCAGAGTCACCAGGCAAAATGAACCGAGCCAGCATCGCTGTTACACCCCAAAAGGGGATGTAATTCCCACTGCCTGCTGGAGTCTGGGGTATGGAGAACTCAGAGAGGGGGAGTTTTCCCAAAATAAACCCCAAACATCGAGCAGAAGCCGCCTCACACAGATTAAAAATTGTTTTCTTCCCTCTTGCTGCTGTGACAGAGCGCTGGGGAGGCAGCAGGGATCTGTCCACCTGCCTGAGAATTCCAGTTTGGAGGCAGAGCTGGATTTTTTATTTCAGTTGGGAGCAGACCTGTCCTCCCCCTCCACACCCTCCGAGGGCTTTAACGAGAAAACAAATCCCTGAGGCAATAATCACCAACAGCCAGAGATGAGAAACCTCAACTGCAATAAAGCTGTAGATAAAACTGCAGCTGATGATGATGAACTTTCCTGTTCGAGCTGAACTTTATCCCAATACCCATTAATTACTCCTTTAGTCGTTTCCACAGCATAGAGACAGGGGAAAAAGACAGTGCTGAGTAGGAAAATCACCTGAACTGATTATTGGTGAGGACAGGGGCTGGAAAAGGGAGATTTGGGAGGCTCAGGGAGCCAGGACTCACCTCGTCCCTGGCAGGTGCTGCAGCGTTCACAGGGCACAGAGGTGGAACCCAGCTCAGGTTTGGTTTCAGGGCCCTCCCTTTGTGCTGATAACAGTGGTGTTATTAACACCACACCATCCTGTGCCCGGGCCCCTCGCTGAGGGCTGAGCAAACACTTCTGGCACCCCTCACATGGTGCTGCCCTGAGGAAACCCCAGCTCTTTTTACCCCCAAAATTTTGAATTTTTGCCCCAAAAAATTTGCCCCAAACCCCCCCCCTGATATTCACATTTATCACCCTCCCTCGCTGGTCTGCTGGTGGCTCCAGCACAGATTTAGGATGTGGGGTTGGTATTTTCTTTTTAAAGCCAACAAGAAGTCCCTGTGGATTTGCAGGTGACAGGCTTGGCCCCGAGTGACAACCCCAGCAGCAGCAACACCAACAACTTTCCTTAAATCCCTAATCCAACCTTTCCCAGAGGGATTTATCCTCGGGACTGTTTGGCTCTGGGAGGAGTCAGGAAAATCCAAACCCTGTTCCAGCTGGTGGAACAGCAGCAGTCAGAGCTCACCCAGGGGAGCTGGCAGCACCCTGCCCATCCCACAGGGATTTTGGAGACTTTTCACAGGTGACACTGGCATTTCTCACCCTCCCCAAATTCCCACAGCAGGAACAGGATTTGTCCTTTCCTCCTCAAGGAGCACCTGGACAAGGATAACAGCAGTTCCCAAAAATCCCTTTTTTTTTTTGGAGGTTTCCTGCACTGGGGAGCAGAAGGGAGCCACATGTGGGGTTTCCACAGCTGCTGCTGGAGCTGGTGTGCCATGGGACATCAACTCTTCCTTCTCCCTCCCCAGGGAAAATCAAACCATCTCCAAAAACACAGATTTTTTTTTTTTTTTTTGGCTTTTAAAGCTGGCAAACCCAACTTTTCCTCCCCTTTCCCTGCAGAGAAACAGCAGATCAACTCCCAGAGGCTGCCTCACCTGGCAGCCAGGTAGGAGGGCGGGTCCAGGGCAGCAGCAAAGCCCTTCTGGACAAAGGCAGCAGAGAGGATGAAGCCAGGGAAGCTTTGAGGAAAAAGCAGCCCCAAAACGCCTGGGAAAGGTGGATGTGCAGGGCACTGCTGGGCAAACACAAGGCTCTGCTCCTCCCAATCTCCTGAATCTTCCAAGCAGAAGGGCTGAGAGGAAATCACATCTCAGCAGTGCTTAGAGTGAAGAGTGAGGGCTGGTTATTTTAAAAAGAAAACGTGGGTGTACTTACATGGCAGAGAAAAACTCATTTATTCCTGGAAGAATCCATGTCCTGCTACTCCATCATCTCTGCTATTGGTGCAGAGGGGCCCGGAGATGATGTCAAACGTGGCTGGAGCTTTGGTTTGCAGGGGTTGTGCACCTCCTCCACAGCTCAACAAACAGCACAGCACTGGGATCAGGGTGAGGGTGCTGAGGCTCTGGCACAGGTTTCCCAGAGAATCCGTGGCTGCCCCATCCCTGGAAGTGTCCAAGCCCGGGCTGGAGCAGCCTGGGGCACTGGAAGGTGACCCTGCATGTGGCAAGGGAGTGAAACAAAATGAGATTCAAGATCCCTTCCAACCTAAATCATCTGATGATTTAATTATTAATTATTTATTATTTATTATTAATTCCCTTATTAAAATTCTAATCATTATTAAAATTTATTTTATTACTAATTCCCTTAGGAATTCCCTTTTTCTGCTTTATTCCCGTAGGAAAAGCAATCCCTTGGCTCAGGTGGGGCTGCAGATCCTCACCTTCCCTGCCCATGCCACGTTTGGCACCCAGAGAGAGGGGAAGGCAAAGGGTTCCCATTCACAACACGACATTTCCAACCTTCCAAGGGGCTCTTTATGAATTCCCTGGAAGCCCTTTGGAAGAAAGGGTTGGGAGAGAGCTCAAGGGGAGAGAGCTCGGGGAGCAGCCAGGGCCTTTCACAGCTATCAGTGTCCATTCAGCGCTGCTGAATGGGAAATGCACCATGGAGAATAGCTCTGGCAGGCTCCTCAGATGGAATGGAAAACTCACCTGACCTCTGCTGACCCCCTCCCCAGCCCTCCTCCCCTCCCAAATCTCCTTGACCCCATTCACAGAGCAGGGAGAGGGGAGAAGGGAGAGTTATTTGGGCTCTCGGAATTAACTCCACGTTTCCTTTGAGGCTCCGCTCTTAGGGAGGAGCAGAAATCCTCTCTGGGGAGAACAAGGAAGACCTGATGGGTTTGGGATTCCCTCCCTCATCCCCCAGGGCAGAGTCCAGCAGGCAGAGCTATCAATCCGTGGCAAATGGGAGATGCAGGAGCTCCCAGAGTCACAGGAAGGGGCAATTCCCAATGACAGCTCCAAATTCCACACCGGGACACCCTGGATTTGTCAGGACTGGGGGGTGGCTCTCTCCTGCACTGCAGCACCTACAGGGGGATCCTGCTGCTAAAATCCTGAGCTTTTGGGCTCCTGAGGCACGGAGGGATCCCTGGCACACAGACACCTCCATTTGGGAATGGCCAGCCCCAAGGGTGGAGAAATCCCTGTCCTGCCTGCCCTTCCCCCCTGGTACCCCACACTCCTGCCAGGAGCTGTGCCAGGGATGCTTTAACCTCACCCCACAGCACCAACCTCACACAGGGCTGAGCCCCAGGCTGCTGCCCCACAGCCCAAAGGATCTGCTGCTGCCAGGAGCCTTCCTCCCAGCAAAGAGCAGCAGCTCCAGCCCGGCCTCCTCCTCCTCCTCCTCCTCCCATCCCCAACAGGAGCCCCTGTCTGACTGACGGCCTCACTGCCTCAGCACAGGCCGGGCTGACACTTGTGGCTCTCTCTGAGGGACAGAAACGAGCCCAGGGCCAGGGCAGAGCCAGCAGGTCCCTGCCCTGCCCTGCCCTGGGCTGGGCTTCACCCTTGGCCACCCACGCTGGGAGCATGGCCAGGAGCTGGGCACAGCTGGGGCTGGGCACCACAGCTGGGGATGGGCACAGCTGGGGCTGGGCACAGCTGGAGCCGGGCACCACAGCTGGAGCCAGGGCTGCTGGGATGAGCCTCAGCTCATCAGGGCCACCCCAAAGATGAGCTCAGCCCAGTGGGGATGGGCTGAAAAGCCGCACTAAAGCCGAGCTCAGCTGCAGAGGGATCTCCAGCCCGGGCTGGAGGAGCCACGCTGGGATTTGTGCTGGTGCACAGCAGGACCTGGCAGCGTTTTACCCGCTCAGGACTGGCATCACCTCACCAAACTTCATCCAGCAAAACCTCCCAAACTCCCCAACACACCCAAACAAACCCAACACAGGCGGAAGCAGCAGCGTTTCAGCCCCGGAGGCTCAGCCCTGCTGGTCACGCTCCCCTGAGCCGCAGTCAGGGCTGCAGGCAGCTCCAGACAAGCTTGGCTGGCTCCTCAGCACAGCCCCAGCTTTGTTTTGCTGCTGCACGACCCAAGCTCTCGCTTTCATTCATGAGAGGAGCCCCCGTTCCGGAGCGGGAGGGGAAATGAGATGATCTGCTTCTGCTTTTCACTCATTTCTGCTGTTTAAAGGCTGTGCCCATCACCCCTGGCACTTGATCCAAATCAACTTCTCCCCCGGCCTTTCTTCTCCGCTTATTTTTTTTTTTTTTTTTTTTTTTTAAAGCAGAAGAATCAAAATGTAAATTGAACTGGAAAGGGGGAAAAAAATGAGCCCCCTCCAGGTGCCCCCTTCTCCTCGGCGTGGGGACGGGCACAGATTATATCCAGCACCACATGACCAGGGCCTGTATTTATGTGTCAGAGTGTAAAACCCACCCTGCTGAGCTGCCTTTTCTCTGCCTGGGGCTGGGGGCTTCTGCTCTGCGTCTCCTCAAACAGCCCCACAAAGGGGATTAAGGAGAGCCCCTCAGCCCCGCAGAGTAATCCATCAAATTATCCCTTGTTGGCGTTGCTGTCCTCTTCAGGAGCAAAAAAAAAAAAAAAAAAAAAAAAAAAAAAAAAAAAAAAAAAAAAAAAAAAAAAGCCCCTCCAAAAGCTTTTAAAAGCACTGAAATTACACTTGAGCCTGAAACACTCCACCCAGCTGCTGGAGCCCGCAGCACAATGGGCTGGTTGTAAAGGGAATCCCGGGAAGTGAGGAGAGAGGAAAAAGAGACGGACACTTAAAAAGGGCAGCGGGCTCCCCACGGCTGCAAGGCCAACAGGTGGCTCAGAGCCCCCCGTTCCCCAGCAGACCCAGCCCAGTAAGGCTGGCTGGGCATCCCAGTCACCCACTGGGAGGGAATTTGGGGCTCCGGGATGGGTTTGTTATCCATGGACACGTCCTCGGCAAAGGTGAGGCTTGCAAAGGTTTGGGTTTGTCAGGGGAGCATCCTGCAGGGAATGCAGCACTGTCACCCCCCTGTCCTCACTGTCCCCAGAGCTCTGGGACTGGAAGGAAAAAAAAAAAACAACAAAACCCCCCCAAAATAACCCCCTCAAACAAAAAAAATCCCTCAAAACCCCCAGCAGGACTGTCCAGGGCTCAGGACATCTCCAGCAGCCACCCCAGAGGCAAAGCAAAGCCACAGAGCACTCACCAAAATCCTGGGAACACTCAGAATCTGCTTTTCCTTCCCCTGCAGCTCCCGGGGAGGAATCCTCCCTCCCCACCAGCCCTGCCCGAGCAAGCACATGGGATTTCCTGCCTTTGCATTGCTGAAATCTTTCGGGGAAAAATTGTCAGCACAAGAGGGACCACAAAGTGCTTACCCCGACAAAGTGGAACTGGGAAAGGGCAGAGCAAACCGGTGCTGGTGGCACTCAGAGCACCCACGGGGGCCAGCCCAGCACTGAACACACCGACACAAAACTCCTGAGCTATAACCACCGGTGCTGAGTGGAAAAAAAAAAATTAAAAAAAAAAATCATTTCCCCCTCTGTGGCCGGGGGGAGATGGGCAGTCAGGAGCCCTCGGTGCTCTGCTGCCTCTGCTCACGGGGCTGGGGGGAAATGGGAAGTGAAACTGGAACTTCTTGTTCGCAGCTGGAGCAGAAATTCTGCACCAGGGGACGTGGGAGCCCAGCTCGGGCTCCTTCCAGGCAGCTCCAGGAGCTCTGCCCCGTCATTCCTGGCTGGATCTGGAATGTTCTGACAGTTGATGGGGCCAGAGGAGGCTCAGACTGGCGCTGGGGTGGAAAGGACAGTTCTGGTGGCCGAGCAAAATCCAGGGCAAGAGCAAAGACCAAGGCTGGACACGAGGCTGCAAATCCAACCCTCGGTCTATGGAGCAGTGCAGGAACAAATCCTGGAGTTTTAGGAGAGATGAGGAATATCCTTGACCCCAAACTGTGCCCACAGACCAATTCCACCCAACACTGAACTCCAACCATTCCCTGCTTTAGCCACGAGCCTCAGGAAAAACAAAGGGAACAACCCCAAACCCCACTCAGAGCAACAGGCACGCACTCCAGAGCCCCTCTGGCTGCAAATTTTGGGAGCCTGAGCCCGTGCTGTAGCTCAGAGGAGACACTGGGGCACACACGGGGCTAATGGTGGCCCTGGTGCAATCCCATGGTCGTTAGGGCATCTCTTCATGGCAATTTTCTGCTCGGCTGTCCCGGTTATTTGTGTCCCTGCCAGAGCTAACAGATCCCTCAGGCGGCCCTGTGACCTCCCCCGGCAGGTTGGGGGGTTTCTCCCCCCTCTGTTTTCTGTCTGTAAAATGAGGTCATGGCTTTGAAGGAGACAAAAGAGCCTTTGCAGGGTGAGGAATAGCCCCGGGACAGCTGGGAGAGCTGAGCCCCCAGCACTGCCAGCCCAGGGACAGCCAGGCTGTGCCCCTTGGTGTCCCTGGCACGGGAATGGGCCAAAAAAAAAAAAAAAAAAAAAAAAAAGGAAGGAATGAAGCAAAACTCTTCAAATATTTTAAACCGGGAGCTGCTCTGAGATGTCCTTGTCCTCCCATCCCTTTTCACCCTCCCAGTCACCCCCCCGGCCGTGGAAGGGAGTTTGTGCCAACATCCCAAGGGATTTTCTGTCACATCAGCACCCTCTGCCAGAGGGGAAGGTGTGCAGGAAATAACGGGAATTTTCTGGGGGTGTTTTAAGGGCAAAATCCACAGCTCAGAGCCATTAAAAAAAAAAAAAAAAAATTTAAAAAAAGCAGTTTCATGTGCCTGGGGTAGCAAAAGCTGCTCCTGCCTGGGGGTTAATGAGAGCCCTGAGATCACTGCTGGAGCACAGGGAGACTGCTCCTTATCGTGACAGACCAGCCACGAGGCCTGGGGCTGGAAATGGGAGATTCCACCATTTAATTTCTGCCTGATAATTGCAAAGATAAGGAGCAATCAGATTTTTATTTTCTAAGGCAGATAAGTTTTCACTGGAAGGTCTTGATGGAGAACTTAAAAAGCTTTTTCCTTTTTCCCCCCTTCTCAATATCAGTGTAATGTGCTATGGACTCACAACATGCAGGGATTGAACACTCACCCCAAAAAAGAGCAGTGAGGAATATCTGGAAGGGAAATCTTCCTCTTTTTTTTTAATTAAAAAAAACCAAAAAAAAACAAAAAAAACCCAACAAAACAACAAAAAAA